TAGTAGTAGTAGTAGTAGTAGTAGTAGTAGTAGTAGTAGTAGTAGTACTAGTAGTACTAGTAGTACTAGTACTAGTACTAGTAGTCGTAGTCGTAGTCGTAGGAGTAGGAGTAGTAGCAGTAGCAGTAGCAGCCTGGTTGACTGAGTCAGAGCAGTCCTTGTCGATGTTCCAATTCGGGCTCCGCTGCTCCGCTCCGAAGGGGGATGCGTAGAACAAGAGGATCGATCACCTGGGTACATCTATGGGATAGTCACTGGGATAGTCCTGGGTACAGAGTTCGAAGACAACCTCCGTTGGCACCACCCAGGTGCTCCCGCCTTTGACCGCCTTCATGACCTTTCAACAGCTCTCGTCCAAAGGGAGTGCTTCTTCCCCGGATGACGCCCCGCGACCGGAGCCAAATCCAGGTGTGGTGGGCATCGGTGTTTGTTTGTATTTTTTTTCATCAGTTTTTTCGGGTTGGGGCATTGGGAGCCTCACTTCTGAGGTCAGAAGTGAGCATTATGAGCTCAAACAACTGAAGACTCTGATTTCAGCGGCCCATCGCCTTCCTATTCCTAGACCTGGAAGCCCAAACGACTGAGCTCCTTTACATAACAAGTGGTTGTTTGTCAAGCATCTACTTCTTGGTTGGGACTGGGTCTCCAGACGTAAGTGAAACACAGGTCACCCCCCAAAGTCGCTTCCCGGACACCGAGCCGAGCGCGAGTGCTTTTGCACCGCCGCTTCTCGCACCGAGCGAGCGGGCCCCGAGGAGGTCTTCATCCAATGGGCGTTCGACCGGCGTCCCCGTGAAGGGGATGGCCTGGGTGGAAGTGGCAAACCGACGAACGGGCCGTTGGAAAGTCGACGGCCCAGTCGGGCCGTTGAAAAGAAGTCGACTGGTGGATGGACCAGATGGCGGGGAACCGTTTTGCCATCTGGAGAAAAAGAACCATGCAAAGGCCAAGATCCCTCACTGGATCAAGGGGTTTTATTACCCACACTTGGCACTGGGGAGGTGCGTAGAAACGCGTCAGTAAGGGTTGGGGATTTGAGACGTTGCGGACAGGGTTCCATAGCTTCATCGCTCATCGCTTGGTATGATGACCGGCTCGGACGCGGGTCCACGCCCTTCTCGTGCGACCAGTCCACACCTCCAAGCTCTTCAAGGATTTCATGCACTTCTACCAAGACTTCGACTGGAGGAGCTGTCTTTTACAAGTTGAGTGAATCGCCCGGTCTCATTTAAGTTAATATTAATATAGCTGAAATAGGCATGAATAGGGCCAGTCTCCTAAACTTAGGGGTACCCTCTCATATCCTTTGTTTGGTTGCTTTTCCTTCCTATTTCTACATTGGAAAATCCAGATATCGCTTGCACAGATGTGGAAGATTCCTGGGGCCATTCAGATTCGATCTTTTCATCTCTTCCTTTTTGTTGTCACACTGGATGACATGGACTGGGGTGTCTACTAATAGCCCACCCCCCCGACTGTGGGTCGTGGCAGAGAGAGAGAGAGACGGAGTGGCCTTCAGAACGCGACCATCCCTTTTCGCAGTGGATGCGATGCCTCCTTTCTCTTTTGCGCCTGACACTCCCTGAAATCATGGTGGTGATGCGGTGGTGTTCAATCACCACCACCTGACAACGTTGTTTGGTCTTTGAGAGTCGAGTCCATGGTCATCCAAGTCTTGAAGGCCATCCATGTGGCCATCAGATGAGTCTCTGACAGGGGAGTGTAGAGACTGACCATGGCTGATGAAGGGCTGACACTGATCCACAATGATCCGCCAGGAATGAGATGATCAACCCCATCAGCGGTTCGCCGGGCAAATCGACCTTTGAGGAGACATGGAATTGCTTAAAGCAAGCAGGGAACGGGGTAGGTGGGACTCAGATGTGTCCTTTTTTTGGAGGTAAAGTGGTGAAGAGGGAGATGGGACCAAAAGAATCCGTGAAGATGGCAGCAGCTGGTGTGGTCTGGCAGTGTCATATCGAACATCGTTGAAGACAATCAACTACTGAGGAATGGGAAGGTTTCCAGAGTTCCTAAAACAGGGATGCTCAAGAAACAAAATCAGGGTCAAGTCAGGTCAAAAGCAGCTGTATTTTTTGAACTGAGATTTGTCCGAGGTAGCTGGTAGCACTGAGATTTGTCCGATCGAAAGACTCTATGAGTTTTCTGCTCGCAGCGCTTTGTGGCGACGAGCGAACCGGAAGACCCGGCCGACCCGTGCAACCCGCGAAGGGTAGAGTCGAGCTGCAACAAACACAGGGAAAGTACCACAATCCGGGGGGCGGGCAAGTCGGCTTGCTGGGTGCTTTTCACCGTCTTTTGAGCGTCTTCCCCCTCTTCTGAAGAGGGAGACACCAACATCTCTTTGGACTTGGTGGGTGGACAATGCGGGAGTGAGCTTACGGACTTCTTTGCTTCCCTTTGAATGTGACGCATGTCAGCAGCTCCGACCACCCTGAACGAATCGCCGGAGGGCCAGAACGCCTGATCAATTCCCAGCGATCGATCTTTTGAACCCTTGTTGAAAGCACTTCACGTGGTGATCTCAGGACAGCTCCAGCCCTCTCATCTTGCAGGACCACGGGTGGACCCGGCACCTGACGGATCCTGGAGGGTCGATGGTTGCGAGGAGACCATCGGAGCTGGACCGGTGAAGGACGGACCGATCGATCTATCGGTTGGACCGGTCGTTTTTCGATGGACTGGACCATATGTTGGGTGGTTGGTGGTCCAAACTAGAGGTCACTAGGAATTACCGTTTTTTCTATGACGTTGAATGCCCTGTAAATGTCCTCCACCAGAACCTTCCCAGTGACCTTTTCAGGATTGGTAAGTGACCGTTTGCAGACTTAAGTGACCTCATTCTGAGATCTCAAAGGGTCACTGGGAAGAACCTGGCAGTGATACTGATTCGGAATCGGTTATTTGGGGTGCCGATTCCGCTGAACATGATCGATCCTTTGCCGTTGAAATCCGGGCTTTCTGCCTGTCGGCTTGGTGAGGAACACCTAAAACAACTGCCTCGGTGAGAAGTCCAGATTCGTCCAATAAGACGACCGAAGAAGCTTCAGCCCGCTTTGGCCATCAATCCTCTATCTCTGAAAAGGTCACCTTAGTGTTCAAGAGAACACCAAGAAGGAACTCGAACCAATGGTATGAAACAAACCACTGACCCCACAAATGATGAGGTGCCTCACATCGGTGTTCTCCAGATCGGTCCAAAGAGCCGGCGGCCGATCCGCCTCCGTCTGCGCGACGCCTCGTCGCTCGCGCCGCGATGGGGGGGAAAGGTAGGAGATGATGGATGGGATTCTGCATCCCGAACGCAAAGCCCCTGAAGGTGTTCCGTTTCGATGAGATGATGGATGGGGGGTTCTTGCTGTCCGTCCCCCGCAACGGTTCAACGATGATTCGGACTAAAACAGCACCAACCCCTGAAGCCCCGCGAGCCTGGGGGACTCGGTGGCGATGCAACAGATTGACCAGAGGATCCGGACTTTGGGTCTTTGGGTCTACCGGATGATACCTCTCTGCTTGGGCTAAGACCAACCTGTGAAAATGCCATGCATCCCGATTATATAGTCTCTTTTTCTATGCATCCTGATCGTCTCTTTTCGGATCTCCTTCGGGTTCCGAAACCAACCCGATCGTCCCGACGTCCCGGAAGCGGCGGCGGGTTGCGACCCTCGAGGACCCCTTCCGCCCGCTGAACCTGGGACGTCGCATCTCCACCAGCAGCCGCCGGGCGGAGTGGGTGCAACCGGAAGCGTGGGTGCAGGGAAGGGGGAGTGATTGGGCTATTTGGAAAAAGGATACCACAAAAACCGTTGTTGCTTTTTTATGCCAGGCGAGCGATTCTTTTCTTTTTTCGAGCAACACATGGTGAGTTTTGCCACCTCCAGAGATGTGTAGAGGTAGTGAAGAGTGTTTGACTTCACGAAGAGTTCCATGTCGGGACTGTGGTTGGGGGTGTTGGTTGGGGTGTTGAACCACTCAGCCAGTTAGTAGCCAATATCTGCTCACCAGTCTTCGATCGTCTTTTAGTACGACCAATGTCTTCGAGGTTCAGGTCTGGACCGCGCATGTCATCGATGTGCGCGGGAGACGAAGCAAGCGAAGCCAACCTTGGAACGACCGGCTGAGAAGACGACGCCACAGCCAGCCCGAAGTGGGAAGTTGGTCACCTTCTCTCAAAGTTGGGGCTGCGAATCACTGACCAACTTTTGGGGAAGTGACCCATTCATTCTGTTTCAAGAGAATATATGGAGGCCCTGCACAAAAAAACAAAATTGGCTTGGCTGAAAAATCTCGACTCTTTGTCCCACTGACAGGTGACCGTCACGTGCAATCCTTCACTCATTCTTGGCTCCACTCGTGAACCCACACCGTCCACAAGAACAGATTCATGATGTCCATCTCAAATGCCTTGACGACCGTCGAAACCTGGAGCTCCTGGTCCATATAGCTTGAACACCAATGTAAGTTGAAAGTCAAGGTGGGTTTTGATCCACAGACCAGCTCTCTTTCCCCTTGTCGACCGTCTCTTTTTCCTTTTTGTAGACCGTCACTTCCGATGTAAAGAATCTCCACTGCCATATGGCGCCATGAGTCATGGCGCCTCCAAACCATTAAACATTAAACATTCGTTCATTTTCGGTACACATGGTCCCTCGGTTTGGATCCAAATGGAACCATTTGTTTCTGCTTGGGTTCCGGACAAAAAGGCACGCAGTCCCCCAAGAGAGATCTACGGAACTTACCGTCACGAAGCTCAAGAGGAGCAGAGCTCACTGGACGTCCGTTTGGGTCACCCGTTTGGGTCACCTGCTTTGGGGTACCCTTAAGTCCCATCCAACCGCTCGTGTGATGTGACAGGGGCACCACCGCGACGTCAGCACCCTGACATGAAACAACTGGTTCCAAGTTTCGAGATATGATACATATAGTGACCCTTTACAGACTTAAGTGACCTCATTCTGAGATCTCAAAGGGTCACTGGGAAGGTCCTGGTAGTATCATCTAGTCTATCTCCACTTTCCTCCCATCGCCGCACCTCTCCTTTGTTTCCGGCGCTTTCGCTCTCTCCCCCCCCCCCGACCGACACCCCACCACCGCCGCCGCCTGACACCGACCGAGGCTTCGCGCGGACGCAGGAGGAGTTCGCCCGCGCGGGCGCCATCTGCGCGGAGGGCGTGGCGGTCGGGCGGATCTTCGAGCTGTGGGTGCCTCCCACAGGCGGTCGATGGCCGCGCCGCGGCGGGCGGGCGCAATCGGAAGCTGCGCGGAAAGGGTGCGGGTGCGGTTCTGCGCGGAAGGAGTGGTCTGGGAGGTCAAGGGATGGAAGGGGTTGAAGGAACCAAAGGCTGCTTTCGGGTCGAATACTTTCATCAACTCTGGATGTGCAGTGCAGGTGAAGTATCTATATATACTTGGTCAGATGGTCGGGCTTTCCGTAAAGAAAGCAGCTGCAGTGGCTCTGTTCATGAACACAAGCTGGCGTCAAAAGAACAAGTCGTTTTGGACAAAAATAGGCCATTTCATACCCTTCATGTGATGCAGCTGGGTCAGTGTAGTTTAGATGGTGACCACCCATTTGGATCACTTTGGATTGGGGTTGTAGTCCTTCCAAACCCACCTGGTACCTTCATGGAGGTGGACAATACTTCTCCTAACTCCTAAAAAATGAGAGGTGCTATGAATGAAGCACTTGGGGAAAGCTGGAGTCCTTCATTTGCCCAAACACGTTTTCACGTCCTGGGAACCAAACACGAGCCCCTTGTGCCATGCATGACCAGGTGATGCAGAGGAAGATTGAGCGCGCAGAGTCTCAACAGTTCGCTGCGGCAGTTTCGATGAAGTGGTGTTGGGTGCCCTAACATCACGCTCGTTCTGAATCGTCCAGGGAGCACAAGCGAGAAATCCTTTTTAGACTCCCCAACCGGACTTGTGCATGGCTCAGAATGATGGGAACCAACAACAAGGTTTGGCTGATACGTCTAATGTCCCTGAAAAGCACTGGGTTTCCAGCGAATTCTCGTACTTTGGGACTGGCCCAGTGCTTTCAGGTTGTTTTACTATTATTACCCAGGACCCTCCTGTCGGGGTGCCCTGTCTGGAAGCTTATGGGTAGTGTGGGGTAGTTCAGCCAGGACACCCCAACAGGAGGGTCCTGGTATGTTTTGCTACGTCCGACCTTTACCGGCAGCTGCGTCCAAAACGCAAGGCTCGGTGAACGGACAAAACCTGTAAGAGATATGTCCTGTTCGAGGGGGGGAGGGGCGGAGGGATCGGCATGATAAGAAGAGTTGGTCGTCTTTAGATGGACCTCTTGACCTCTTGAATTGGTGAAGGGCCGGAAGTGTGGCTGAAGAGGTCGGAAGAGTCGCTACCAGTCGTAGCGTTGAGACCGTGGAGACCTCCCACGGTTCTCTTGCGGTTGCCACGGAGAGTCGCCAGGGTTGCTCGGACTTGGTCCGACTTGGGGTGTCCCAACGAAGCCTCCAGATTCGGGAGGAAACCGTTGAAAACACCCAGCAGGACGAGAACGGAGGGCCGTTGGGCTTCTTCCTGTTTTTGCTGATGTACGTGGTGGGCACAGAGAGGGTGACATGGCCTAAGAAATAAGGGTCCACATCTAGAGGCAGCTCGGGCCTATTCGTTGGTCCAATCCGTTTCTGATGGAATGGTTGACGATTTCAGGGTTGTACCAACACCCCCGACATCCCAAGTGGCCCCCGGAAGGAGCGCTTCTTTCTCTGAATCCTTCAGCTGCAAGGTTTTGGAGCTCCAAGGAACCCGAAAGCATGGTTTTTTTTTATAGCAGCAAGGACGCTACTAGGGGCTCGTGGCATTGCTACTAGGAGCAAAGGATGCTACGAACGGCTCCTGGCCTTACTACTAGTAACAAGAAGCTATTAGTAACAAGTGCATCGCTACTAGTAACAAGTGCCTTACTAGAAGTAACAAGAAGCTATTAGAAAGCATGGGTTTTAATGGATGCTTTCCACCATCCTCGCCTCGGAGCGGCCGACTGACGCTGACGCCCCGACCTCTCTCCGTCCGTCCGGAGGTGGGTGCGTGCGGTCCATCGACCATTGAGCCTGAGACCATGGGTTTCTTGCGAAATTGACTCTCCATACTTATCCGCCCACCGTGGGCGCGTCCTGCACCTGCACACAGCTCCGCAGGGCTCCGCAGGGCGGAATCAGACACCTGGGACAGCCAAAAAGACGTAGATCGCTGGGGGAGAAGAAGGGACGGCCGGTGGCGCTAGACAGCGGGGGAGGGTGTGAAGCGGTTCTCGGAGAACACAGTGGCTCAAGGACATTCCTTCTCTCAACCTTTTTCTCCTCTACTTTATGAGATGCAACTCTTGATCCTTGATGGTTGTGGTGCCCTTGAGTGAAATAGAAGCAAGGGAGGAGAAAAACAGAGCCGACATCGGACACAGCGGTTTTCGATCCGATGAGAGTCTTTCAAAATTCCATTCCTTTCGATCCGATTGGTTGCAAATCAACCAGCCACGCCGGTGGAAGACTATAGTGTCTATGGTAGCGATCAAGAACTGATAATTACTTGCATGGGTGTGTATTAACATAGGGAGACCTCCAAACTATACCAGCCTACCCAGCCTACCGGCCAGGGGGTCTCGCTGTTCGATTAGACACCCCCTATGCTTAGTTGGAGTGCTTCTTTTGGCGGTTGTGGTTTTCCTTTTTATCAGGGGCAGATATTTGTGTATATATATAATACATATCCAGATATACATACACACTTATCAGGGGTTCACAAAAGAAACCGGAGCAGCACCTGCGCTGTGCACTTGTAAGAGTATGTTATATAATGTTGTATAATATACCTATAGACCCCGTTTGACCTGCTTCTTGACATGAAAAGACCATGTTTGGTCTCCAACACAGGGATCAATGAGGTTCTAGGTATACATACATATGATATGGGACACTTCCACGGTAGGTGCTGTCCAAAAAACTGGAGTCTACGATCTCTGCCGTCACCAGACACGCAGGTGTTTCGACGCCCCATGTTTCCCGTCTCCCAGAGTCAAGGTACCAAGACACCCCCGGGGGGGGGGCCGGTGTCTCAAAATGGCCACTTAGAGAGTATATAACCTGTAAGGGGAGTGAACTCACCCCCCCAAAAAAGGGGGCATTAAGGTACCAATGACCAGCTTCTTTCAGTTCGTGAGAGAAATTGGGTGTCCCTCCCAGTGCCCTTTTATTGACAGGCTACTGAAGTGACCTCAACCACCTGGGATCTCATTCTGGGTTACGAACTGAAGAACTATAGCTACCACTTCAATCACGTTGCTGAGAACTTGGCGCTGGGACCGGGGTAGATGCTTCCACGGGACCGCTGGGGGCCGCAGTGTTTTGGCTTGCCGGTGCTTTCGGCCAAGGATGAACCATTTGGCACTTCTCGCAATGCGCTGGACGAAGGGTCGAAAGGTCGTTCTCGGTCACGATCCTGGACGATGGGTTTCATGAGGTACATCGACCTGGACCCAATTTTCGGTTTCCAAGTGACAGCCACCTACCACCCGGGGTTCAGAACAGTGTCCCTGACAACGAAGGCCAAGAACAGTGTCTTACTCTTTGGATTTTTCTGGTGCGCTTTTCTGTCTTGGATGATTGTATCACATGACCACCCTGGAGTGTTCTTGTCTTGTTTGTGGACAACATGTAATATATCAAAAGACTTGGAGACTTACCATGTAGCATTCTGGAGAAGAAGGACCACGAACCGGCAAGAGCAAAACCGGTTTTCTAAGCGACTCTGCACGTCTCTACCTGTCGTTCCATGGCCCCTCGGTCCGTGCGCCATGCAGCTGAGGTGGGCGTCATTTGTCCGGTGGTGGGGGAACAGTTGGACTGAACATATACAAAGACTGATTGAATGGCAAGGACCCTTCTGAGTGACATAGCATAGACACGGACCCTGAAATCACATCATCGGCCTGGTTTGGAGTGGAGTGGAGTGAACACCACCGGGGTCAGCGTCTTGGTCTTCGTTCATCCGTCCTTCCCGGCCGCGTGGGAACACGGCAGATGAAGCTTCATCTGTTACACGGCCGACGGTGGGGAGGTCAGGATATAGACACCGAAGCATGAAAGATACAGTGTCTTGAAACTCGAAACCAAACAGGATGGGTTTAAGAGTAGATGAAGGGCCTTTCTGCCTCCGACAGAAGGCCTGACAAGATGGGGGGTCCTTTTTGGGAACCACCTCGTCCGGGGATTGTGCCATAAGATACTCTCAATCCACTAGAAATCAAACCGAGTGTTATATACACATCCCTATGGATGTGTATTAAAATAGGGAGACCTCCCAAAGACCTTTTGGAAGAGAAATAGATCAACACCCATTGGTTCGGGCCCTATTAAAATACACATCCACATAGACGACTCTGCAGCTGTGCTTGGGAGATGTGTTCCTCCGGAAGTTTCAGGATTCTGATCGAGCGGCGTCAGCGCTTTTGGATTGCGGACCCCTTGATCTACTGTATCCAGGTAGGACTCTTTGATCTTTACCAGGAGCATCCTGTCTAGATCCCTAAGTCCCTATACTTGGGTAGTGCCAGGACACCCAGACAGGATGCTCCTGGTAGTTGTCCCTTCCAGTGAGTCACATGTTGGGGTGCCTGTTCCGAACGAAGGGAGGGTGCCGTCGGGGTGCGCCTCTGAAACTCACGAGCCCTGGATGGGACGAAACACACCACCCCAAACTTGTGGCTCCAAGAGCTTCTTTCCCTATGGATCAACTGCCACCGAAACCTGAGAGGGACCGGTGAGTTTGGAGACTATCTATGTCGTCGCCAGACGTCGGGTCCAGTCTTACCTAACCTGAGGTACGGTAGCAGTGGATCCATCAGTGGATGTGACAGGGGCACCTGTACTCCTTCCTCCATGGATAGCACCCCTAACCTCTGACTCTTTTGAAGACTTTGAAGACTATGGCTAGGGGTGTATATAGAAGAAGGTTCCAAGTTCCAAGATAGGATGGACGCTTCCAAGACTAACTTTGAAGACTTTGACCTTCTCCGCCACGCCGGACGCACCGTGACTCTTTCGGGCACCCATCCCCGGCCACAGGGGCCTTGCGCGTGCGACGCCGGGCGCCCTGAGGGCATTCACTGGGTGTGTGGGAGGAGGAGTTGGAGAAGAAAGGTGAGGAGGGGTTTTCCGTGGTCAACTGGGGGTCCGCAAAAGTCTGGGTGAATTTGGAGAGACTGCACTTGTTTCTATCTCATCTCTCATCTCCTTTTTTCGGTGCCTGTCTCGCTCCCCTCGATCGAATCGGTCACCCACAATGGTGGAGCACTGACCACCTGCACCGGTGCACTCCCTCGCGATTGGCACTTCGAAGACCTCCTCGGATCCGAGGAACCGCCATCGGAACCGATGGCTTGTTCACATCATCTTCTTCAGGAACAGCATTGTGAACCGATGTCAAGAACCGCTAACGTCAACACGGTCGTTTCCTTGGTCCCTTTTCTTCACCAAACGTTTGGCTCGACCCCTATAGCTGTAGGCTGTTTTTGTCCCTATAGCTGTTTTTGTCCCTTTTTGTCCAGCTGTTTTTGAAACAAGACAAACAAGAACACCATCCGTTTGGCTCGACCCCCGTGGATCCGGGCTGATTCGGGTCGGCGTCCTGAAGAACCCGAACACCGGATCAGAGACGGTCCGCGGTTTGCCGCGGTGGACCGGGGGGCGGGGGGTTGGAACCCAATGAACCGAAGTGGAACTCATTAAAGGTAGACCACCTGGGTTTCAATCAAGCATCATACAACCACCTGGAAAACCCCGGTCTTAACCAGAAAGACATGGATGGAACTCCCAATGATTTCTAGCCATTTCCCTATGGTAAAGGATTTCAATTGCCATATGGAACAACCATTTGTTTCGGTTGCTTGGGGTTCAGGCATTCAATATGAAGAAGCTGTTTCAAGCCATGTCTGGGGGTATTATTAATTAGTCAAGAGACTACATAATTGATCGAGGCTCAACTGATCCTTTGAATTTGTGCGACTGGGGAAATAAGGGCGAACCACATTGTCCATCTCAAAGGTTTCTTTTAGACAGATGAATCTTTAGGGAGACCAAAGACGACCAAAGACGTGCTCTGGTGTGACAAAAGCAGTGTTCTTGCAAGTCTTGGGAACAAGCATTCTTTTTTCCGAAACACCTGCAACAACCACCAAGTGCAACAACCGATAGTGCAAAAACACTTGCATTCTTTTTCAACAATTACATTGCCATGTGGCAACCACATGGCAACCACATGTTTTGAAACAATAACATCTTTTGGCAAGCACCTGGCAACATGCTTCCTGCCACATCATCCACTTGGCAGCGCGACCTGGAGCCTCGTGGATCTTGGGCGAAGCTGCTGTGGTTCGAGGCAACAAAGCACGTGTTGAAAGAGCCGCACGCACACGTTTCCTGCGGAGGTTGTTTCGTTTTTTTCCTACGTACAGTACACGGTTTTAGAATGAAGGACGCCGCTTCAACGAACTGAGAAGTTGGTGTTCCAACCGTTTCTAGCACGTCTTCTTTCTTTCAGTCAGTTCACGCATTGCAACAGAATGCAAGCAGATAACAACACGCACACGCATGCAGATCTGCGGACTCCTTCCAGGCACCCTTTGGGCGTTTTTTCCCAGAGATGGGGAAAACACACATCCCTCACATCCCACATCCCACAAACCCACCCCAAGACCGACTGAAGCCACCGACCTCATCGAATTCCTCCCACCACACCGGTCACCGGTGCCATGTGGCGCCGCGCGCTGCAGCGGGTGGCGCCGCGTGCTGCCGGGCCGCTGGCGCGAGCGTCGGGGCGCCGGTGCCTGGCGGCGGGCTCACCGAGTGTGTGCCGTGGCAGATCTGGGGGTGTTTGGGGAAGAAACCCGATGTAATGAGTGAATATGAGTGATGACATGCGGATTGACCACTTGAGTTTCGGACCGGTTCCAGTTTCGACAAGAACGTGTGTCGCTAACGTACTTTGGTGTAAATCAATCTCTCATTCTTGGGTGTGCCGGGTGCTCCCCCTTGTCGTGCTTTTCCTGCAGGCGGTGGAGGGGGATTTCTGCGACCTGTAGCTGGTAGCTGCCGCTATAGTCCCTAGCTCTACATAGATGCAGATGTGCTCCCTTTGGGGCTTCATCATGGGAGTGGAGTGACTGGCAGTGGCCTGTTTCGGACAATGGCAATCCGTACGGGGCCATTCCCTGAGCTGGTAAAGACTCCCAACAGTGGATCCATAAATCTGGTAGGAAAGGAATGGAGCTTTGTTTAGTTGGATGTCCAACAAATCAGATACCCAAGGGGTCTGTCCGTTCTTACCTGTGACTAGTCAGTCAACAATCTTTACCATTTTTGAACTGTCGGCCTGCCACCAGGGCCCCATCATCATCCACCGGGCCCTGGGTGTGTGGGATAGACCCAACATATACCCAAAGATGTGAAACCTCCATGGCCTGACGCGTCGCGATGCGTCGCGTCAACGCCAAGCAACGTTCTCATCCAGTCGTCGTATTTGGCGGTTCTGGCACGGATCCAGAGGATCTGGAGCCATCCGGAGCAAATCTGAGCGGCGTTTTTGGGGACAATGATCCGACAGAGCCGCTCAGATGTGAGGAGATGATGACTTCCCCCGGAAGCATTGGATCATCCGTGCTACAAAGCAGTGGTACCGTCAAAACCGAGAGCCCCAAGTTTTGGAGAGTGACTTCCACAAGGAGTTCACACCCCTTAGGGTGCCGGTTCCATGGAAGGTCGGGAAGTGAAGTCACAAGACCCCGTTCCGAACGGAGGAAGTCGGGCTGCGGTGCCCCCTGTCGCATCACCTCGAACCCTGGATAGGACGCACCAAACCAGCCCCCAAGCTTGTGACTCCCAAGGGGGGGAAGAGCCCTGAGCCGGTGCTCGCCTCACCGTACCTGGACCTTCTGACTCCTTCAGGCAGGAGGTGCTGCAAGCGGCCAAGGAGGAGCGAACCTCCCCCCCGGGGAGGCCGCCGCCCCGCGGGTCGCGGTGGCAGGGTGGAGGGTGGGAGGGCGCCGTCTTCGATGTTCACCGTTGGAGCCACATTTTAGGGCTCAAGGATAGGGACAAGCTCCAAGAAGCAGCATGAAGTGAAGAAGCATATGGGGAAGCAGGGACTCCAGCATGGTGACCATTCGGTTTCTCCTTTGTTCCGGCGTGGTTGACCTGACTCGGATCATGAGGGCTGAACACGTGACTTGTAGTCACAGCGACTTTGTTCTCCATGTCCTAAAAGAAGAACAAAAAGCATTGGATGACTCCCTTTGTGCAGTTTCCAAACGTTACAACCACTCACCCGGATTTCTCCGCTGATTTACTCCGCGACGGCCATGGTGAATCGGGGTGACCTCCGCGACATGCCCGATGGAGCGGAGATGCAGCTGAAGGTGGTGGGTTTGGATGGAGAAGAACTGGCAGCCTGGCTGGAGCTCAGGATGGGTCACCTGGGTCAACGGTTTCGTAGTTGCGATGACCGGGAGGTTTTGATGTAGGATGATGTACCAGGACCTTCCAAGTCCGGCGGTTTTTGGACACCCCCTTTACCTCTAAGAGGCTATTTATAGGCACCTCAAACGGATGGTCCTGAGTCTTCTCCTTTGAAGCTTCGATGCTGCTGTTGCTGCAGGGTTGCTGCCAGATGTTGGTAGTGCACCATGGGCGCTTGGCTGGAGGCTGCTGGTGCCGCTGCACGGCCTCTATCCCACCAAGATCGTTGACTACTCTCCGGGGTCGCTGGCGTGTTTTTTTCGCACGTGAGAAGAAACCTCCTTCCTTACTCCATTTCTGAAACCCTTCAAGGACAGGGTCTGAAGACGCCTGAGTCACGGAAAACCGTGGTCACCAACAGAGGTTGAAGAACCCGAACTAGGCTATCCCAAATCGGTACCCTGCTAGGGTCCGAACGTTCAGGTCACTCTCCACCTCTGTTGGTACGCCCCCAGAACGAAGGTTCCGACCACCCGTTTCACCCCTTCGTTGCACCCGTTTCGGGTGCCTCGGGGGGTGGCCGAGGTGCTCCAGGTACCGGAGACGCTGACCGGGCGAGAGGTGCGGCAGAGGATCGCGGAGCGGCTGGTGCCCAAGGCCAGGCTTCCCTTGGTTCGTTCGTTTCGCGCCGGCATGGAAGTTGCTGAAGATCCATGCATTTTTGTTGCCGAAACCATGAAACAGATCATGCTCAAAAGAAAGGGATCCAGTCGTACCTTCTCAGAAGGTAGTATTGGACCCTCCTAAATCTTCAAACCTACCCTCGCAGTGTTTCCAATCACCTTCTAAGAAGGTACGACTGGATCTCTAGGGATCAAATAAAGAAAAGGTGCTCAACCTGGAGCAAGAAGCGCAGCTGTTGAAGGTGGGTGTTCTTTTTTTGTATTCGATGCCCTGGGGCGTTGGTGCTGCTTGACTCTATCTGACAGGCACCTCGAAGGCACCTAGAAAGGCACCTCGAAGACCCCCCAAACCCGGTGTTTTCAGGGTTGTTGATTTATTTTCTTAAAGTTTTTCACGGGTTTTTGCTTGGGTGATTCTTATGTTCCATGTTCCCTTCTGTTCCAGGTGCATCCCCTTCTGACTACTGATCTTCTCCTTCTGTCCCGGTTCCTGGACGCTCGGTCCCTCCGCGCAGGTGGGAGCCAGAGTCTCCGTCCAGAGGGGCTCCGAGCTTCTGGCACCTCTCAAAACCTTGAAGGAACAAGGTGCCCTCCACCGAATCGCCGTTGGGGAGCCGATTCGGTTGGGCCAACCCAGTGAGCTGAAGATGTCCATGCCCTTGCTTTTAAGCAATTTTTTGACCTTGAGATGGTTGAACTGCTGAAATAGCAAAATAGCCTGAAATGAGCTACAGCATGAAACTTGACTCCGGGCCTTTTGTTATATAGTATACATGTGATTGGTTTAAAGCGAGTCCTTGGCACCCCAGTCCAGACCGAACACATCGTGGGTCTCACGAACTCATCGACCGCTTGAGACGGTTTTTTCTCAAGCACCCCAGTCGGTCCTAGACGAAGATGCCCATTTTTCTCCCTGAAGACCCGGTTTGGATTAACAGATGAAAAAACACATCTCAGTGGATGGATTGTTGCACCCTCAGGCGTGCATGAGGTCTCCTTTGTCTACATCCCCGTGAGCTTGCAAGAGGCCCTGCGTGTGCTCCAATTCCCGCGCCCCGTGCTCGGCGCGAGCATGGGGCCGGGTTCCGCCGAGTTCGGAGCTGGAGATGTGGACGAGGTCCTGGCGCTGGAAGGGATCGTACGGCTGAGTGGTCTTCAAAGCTTGGAGCTGCTCGGCGCACCTGGGCGCGGGCGCCGGAGGAGGGGGGCAGAGGTTGGGGGGCGCTTCTGGGTTTCGTCCTGGAGCATGTTTGCATTCTTGAAAACACATGCAATGGATTGAGGACAAACATCTGCTTTTGAGGATATGATTATAGTTATATGATTGAACATTGAAAACTGAGTTGTTGCTTTTTTTTGGGGGGTGCTTCTTCAAGCTTCGCAGGTTGAGAGAGCTTCCCAGGAGTCTAGTGAGTCTGACGTTCGGGAGTTCTTTCAATCAGAGCTTGGTGGGAGTGTCTTTGCCCCAGAGCTTGCAGAGCTTAAAGTTTGGCAGCGAGTTCAACCAGAGCTTAGATGGGGTGAATTTCCCTCACAGTATCCAGAATCTGACTTTTGGTCGTCGGTTCAACCAAAAGGTGGACAAGGTGGCATGGCCATCCAACTTGCAAAGTTTGGTGTTTGGCGATGAGTTCAACCAGAGCTTGGACAGCGCAAATTTGCCAGACAGTCTTGAGATTCTGATTCTGGGTGACTGTTTTGATGAAAGGTTGGATGGACTCACTTGGCCCAGCAGCCTCCAAAGTTTGACATTCGGTTTTGACTTCAACCAGCCCGTGTATGGCGTTTCTTGGCCACCAAACCTTGAGACGCTGACGTTTGGCTTTGCGTTCAACCAGAGCTTTGGACGAGCGGGACGAGCTCTGCCCAGCAGCCTCCGGACTCTGATGCTGGGGCACCAATTTAGCCAAGGTTTTGACACCTTGCCCAGGAAGCTCCAAAGTTTGAGCGTCGGTGACGGCCTGATCCAAAGTCTTGAGCACATCAAGTGGCCTGAAAGCCTGCAAATCTTGAATGGAGTTGTTTTACCCACAAGAGCCACTGCGAGCTCGAGCTCACAGATGGAAACGATGTGTTCCATGTACATGGACTTTCGCAGGGCTGACTTCACTCTGCCCAGTAGCATCTTAAGCCTGAGTTTGGGCAACATGTTCAATCAGAGCTTGGTGGGAGTGTCTTTGCCCCAGAGCTTGCAGAGCTTAAAGTTTGGCAGCGAGTTCAACCAGAGCTTAGATGGGGTGAATTTCCCTCACAGTATCCAGAATCTGACTTTTGGTCGTCGGTTCAACCAAAAGGTGGACAAGGTGGCATGGCCAAGCAACTTGCAAAGTTTGGTGTTTGGCGATGAGTTCAACCAGAGCTTGG